ACACACACACACAAAAAACATAGTTCCAGAGTGAATAGCAGGGAAATGGAGATGCAACATTAGGAAAACAAAAAGCAGCTATTAGGGAGATTAATTTGTTAATTAATTGTTAATTTTGAGAAAGACTAGAGGCAGGTGCACTGTGGAGTTCCTTCATGCTCTAGGGTCTGAGCAGAAATTTAAAGATGGAGCTTTCTCCTCTTATTAAGTACCTATAATACTCAGTAATTTTGCTAAATATTTACTGAGCCCCAGCATCTGTGTATTCCCTACAGTACTAAACCCAGTTTAATATAGAACACAAAGGGAGGAGCAGGGCTAGGCTGTGTTTGAGAGCGTGCCTGGGATCCTGGAGTCTCTACTCTGTTCATCACCCACCGAACCCACCAACCCACCCCTTGGTACATTCCTGATCTTGGATTTGCAGTCCTTACATTCAGAAGTTCTGGGTCCCAGGAAAAAGGGAAATCTTACTATTAATCATCCTTGATATACACAGACACATAATGGAAAGTCTTCCAGGATTAAAATAATTTCAGAGCAAAGGTCTTCAGTGGCATATTTTTTATATCCAATAGGAGCCAGATGTGAAGGCATATTGGAAAACAAAATGTAGGTGGTCCTGTGTGATTAGAGTCTAGGGAGGACAGTCCATTTTTCACAGTGGGTGATCTTTCTTTTGTTGTAAAATCCCATGGATACTTTTGTTGTTGCTGCTCTTATCTTCCCTTCTTTCTTGGCAGCATTTGAGGCAGCTGAGCATGCCTTCTTTTCTAAAGCCATCTCTTAAATCTTTTTGATTGTGTGACACAATTTTCTGTATCTCAGTGTTCCTCTTCAGTCTTCACAGGTTCCTTTTAAGGTCTGCATTCTGTGGGATTCTATCCCAGCTTGCTGTACTCTACACACTCTTGGTGGTTTAGATTGTTCTTATACAGAGTACTCCTGGGCTTACAAATCCACACTGCACTTTAAGACCTGGTAGGCAGTCATGATTACAGCTAACAACTTTACCTTAATTTGTCAGAGAGGAAGGTTAATTCACTGGTAACTTAAATACCCAAAGCCCTGGTAAACTGCTTTATAATATGAATAGATAATAGGATTTTGTGTTTTGTCTATGAATGTCTATATATTATTTATTTTAAATCTTGGAAATATAGATACCACAAGTGCCATTTCATTTTCTACATTTAAACAGTAACCATTATCAACCTGTGAAAAATCTATAGGAAGAAAAATATGGGAAAATTAAGTGGCCAAAAGGTATGAGAAAAATGATGGCATGAAAATTTTAGTATATGAGTAACCAAAAAACAAAAAAAAAATTAGTTGGATTAATGACGAGAATTATTTATATTGAACTACAATAAATCAGTAACTACTCTTAATTTCTATTTCTAAAAACTCACGGTCATGCGAAAAAGAAGAAAGCTATTGGACTCAACTACTCAGGAATCGGGCTGTGATTTCTCTGGTATCTTTGCTTGACTGTGGAATCTGATGACTAGAACCAGCAAGGAACAATGCAGAGAAAACTTGGTCTGGGCAGCTAGCTTGGTTACTAAATGGTCCTTGCTAAACATTCATCTAATATCTTTGGGTTCCAAGATCCATAACACATTCTATTCTTAGCATTTGGTTTAGTCTCTGGAAAAGATCATATAATCATTTATAACTCAGTGTAGATTTAGTCAATGGGTTCAGTTAAGACTGAGATCAGAAGCAGCAGAAATGTAATGAAACATGGAAAAATATACCTTTTCTTCTCTCTTATGAGGAAAAGAGCGAGAAGGCAGAAGTTGGAGAAAGAATGGTAAAGAGCAAAGGAAAATAAAATTATTCCCCTCTAACAAAAGAAGCATCACTGTGATCACACACCATCCTTACTTACTTTTGGCACTGAGTCCAGCTAACAGTGAGAAGTAGAAAATGTTTGTTCTGTAGGGAGTTCCTACACTTTTTAAAGCATATTCTATTATATATCCTAAAAATAGGGAGCTCTAAACCTAGCTAAGGAGGCATGTGTGTTTTAAAACATAAAGCAGGGAATAAACAACATATGTCAGAAGTTTAGGGGAATGAGCAATTGCTATGGTTCTGGGTGGTCTAGGAAGGCTGTGTAAGCAATAAACCTGGGGCCGGACCAGTCAACATGAAGGCCTGGGCTTTGCTATTCTTTGACTTTTCTTCTTGAAACACATAATAACAGCAATAACTACCAACAAACTACTGTATGAGTAAATAAAAGTACTTCATAAAGTACAAAATGTTAAATATATCGTGGAAAACTAGAACACTGGATGAGAAGATAGATTAAGCATCCTTGATTCTAACTCTGGGCCTCCAAACCAAAGGTAGTAACTAGTTACAGAATTCTTGTACTATGAGAAGAATGAACTATTTGTTTAAACCACCATTAATCAGCTTTTCTGTTACAATAAACTGAAAATATTCCAGAGATAAATGCTTACCACATGCTTAGGAAGGATTATAAAGTAAGTAGGTGGCAGAAACAGATCTCAGGCCCATATCTGACAGATCCAAAGTCCCAACTTTTAACTATTGCACTCACTCACACTACCAAAACTGTCTCATAATGACCAAGCTATTGTTGCTTTAGTTTGATAGATTAGTCATCTTGTGACAGTCATAGCAATTCTTATCACAAATCTTTACATCCTAGGTACATTTTAAATATTTTTTATTTATTATTTTTATTTTACGTGTATGCATGTATTGCCTGCGTGTAGGTAAGTGTACCTATGTCATGCAATGCCTGCAGGGGACAGAAGAGGCTGTTGGATCCCCTGGAACTGGAGTTACAGACAGTTGTTAGCTGCCATGTGGGTGCTGGGATTCAAACCTGGGTCTTCTGCAAGAACAACCAGTGTTCTTAACTGCTAAGCCATCTCTCCAGCCCCCTAGATACATTTTAGTAACAAATTAACAAAGAGGTTTGAAAACAA